TTCTTAGTCATATCTTTTTTACTGAGCTCTCCTGAGTTATAATTCTTTTTAAGCTTTCAGAAAAAGATAATTTATTTAGCTCCGTTGTGTTTTCATAGCAATCCGTGGTAGCAAAAGCCGAATATTTTCAAGAATAGACCACTTTTCCTAGCCAAATCTTCGTGTTTCACTCTATTTGGTCAAGATTAGCATTGATAGGTAGAGAAAAGTACATAGATTAAAAAATATGTGGGAATTTTCTAATCTCTTTTTTGTTTGCGAGTTACAGTTGCTCAAAGTTTGTGATTTAGCCTCTTCGAAAAATTTTCAGGCAGCACTGGGGAAATCAGGAGCAACTAAACTATCTCAGTCTCTTTTAAATATCTAGGCAAATTTTTTGTGCTTACTCCTTCTTTGAATAGAGCTTCAGATGCTAAAATAAATTTCAGCTTTTCTTCTTTCTCCTACCCACGTGCCATGTTTATCTGCACTGCACTGCTGACCACACCTAAAATTTATTTTATGGATCAGTGCAGTAATTGCATTGTTGCACTTTGCACTTTGTCAAAATCTATTATCCTTTTTTTCAAATATCAAGTTGCTTATATATATAATATCATGATGGATGCAGTACAAGTAACACATTATCCCTCAGGTGAATCTCAGCAGGCGAGTCCACGCACCATGGTGCTTCATTATTATTGAAAGTGTTTCTTTGCAATGAACTTACAGTGGAACACATTGCATTGTGATATATAGCACTGTACTTTATTGATGAATTGACACAGAGTGAATTCTATACTCAATCTTTTCTTTAGATTTTTTAGTAATTCATGGTCTTTGAATAGATTTCACTAAAATTGAAGAGGAGAAAATTTTGATTAGAATTTTATTACACAGCCACCATTTTGAGAAGCAGCTACAAGAGACTAATACTATAGTCTGTTGCCTGGTGCTCACCTCATCTAAGAATACTGTTACTTTACTTCTATCAGTTGTTTATTAAGATACTTATTTAATTATAGTTTCCTTCAGTACAATCATTCTTTTGGTTTAAGAGATATCAATTTTTATTATAGTGTTTATAACTTCTAAAGTATATATACTTTAGAAGATTGTAAACACTATAAAAATCATGTATAATAAAAATTGATTTCTCTTAAACCACAAGCATGATTGTAATGAAGGAAACTATAATTTAATAAGTATCTCAATAAACAACTGATTACAAGCAAGTGGTAGAGTGGTCAATTTGAGCAGCTGCTCTTAACTTGAAGGAGCCTGAGTGAGACCTTGTTTATACCACTTGCTTGTAATCAATTGTTTACTGAGATACTGTTTCCTTCAGTTCCGTCATTCCTGTGGTCAGTGATATCAACAGTATCAATAATTAATTTTGTACTATGCCGGTGTCGATATAGCACATGTAGCAGGTGTGTACATCAAATGTAACAGTGAATATTAAATTAACTGATTACTTTCTTCATTTGTCATAGAGTGGTGTTGGTACAGAACAGTTTAAGATAAAGACAAGGGAAGCAATGTACAATTACTGAGAAAAAGCACCAGCAGTAAATTATAATAAATAATATTATGAACTATTTCCCTCTCTTCTCTACTGTTTGTGATAAAAATGCTCTTACATGAATAATTAATTTTTTAGCACTATAGGGAGGCATTATCAGGTCAATAGTCTCTCTCTGTGTAATGCTAAACTGTAGCTGTTGCCACCAATTTGACTGATATTCCAGAGTACAGATTTTATCATCACAAGCCACTTTAGCTTCTCTACACTGATTCGAATGCTCTTTTTTTCTCTATTTAGCATTACACAGGTATGCAGGCCGGGCTCATTCAACTGGTCAAAAATTAATTCAGATTTCTGAAAGAAACCAATCATGTGGGAAATTCATGTAATATGATAAATTAAATGATGTCGTGTAATTTATTATTATTGTCAGTTCAAGCTTAATGTTGTTATTAATATTCATAGCAGTTATAGCACATCTGCTATCCTTTAACAGTAAGTCACATTATTTGATTGGGTAATCTTGTATATTTTTATTGGTATCTGTTTTACGAGTTTTTATCCAAAAATTTACCAAAATAATGCAATCTTGTTTACAAGATATGGTTATAATAGTTCAGGTAACTTATAGTTATAACAGTTTGTTATGATGACATAACACAAAAGTACTATGTACATTGCCACATAAAGTAAGTGCTGTGTCAGATGAGGTATGAATGGTATGTTATTATTGAGTTAGTTAGACTGCAGAGGCTGTTTACTGCAGGAGATGTCATCAAGTAAGTGACCTGTTCTCTTTCTCTCCCTTACTTTACTCCTCTGTATCCTCTTCTTATCATAACTATTCACTATATTACTCTGCCCTCTTGTTATCTATAGTCTATCAACCAGTGGAAAGGAGAGATCACTCTACAGTACAGGTAGGAGACTACCTGTACATGTGGGGTGGGGACCAACCTGATCTCCCTGAAGTACACAATAATGAGAAGAAGAAATCAATGTGTTCTGTAGTGGAGGTCTGTCACCTACCAACTGGTGAGTGGGTACAAAAGCCTACCACTGGTGACCCTCCACTTGGTGTCTATGGATGTGCTGCTGCTGTCATTAGAAATGAAATATTCTTTTTTGGAGGAGATTGTGGTCATGATGACTGTGATCATAATAGTTTATACAGGTAAACATAATAGTTACTGATAAATATTATAACATTTTATACAGTTTTAATGTTGATACCTTAAATTGGAAGGAACTCTCTCCTACTACATCTCATCATGGTCCAATGAGGAAGTGCTACTCTGGCATGATAGCAATAAAAGTGAATGACGAGGACTATCTTGCAGTAATTGGAGGAGATGGACCATCTTCTAATAATACCCCACCGCAACCTGGTGCCAAGTACAATGAACATGGTGATTTTCAATTTTGCAATGAAGTACATATGTACCGATTAAAAACTGGTCAGTATAATTATGACATTAGGTTTAAAAGTATAATATGTTATACAACCTGGGCCTGCAAGGCATATATCACAGTTTTCAGCACCAAGCCCAAGTGCCGCAGGCCCGAGGGCGAGGTCTGTGGTGCCATAGATATACAAACACATATCCTTGTGTTTGTATATCTGTGATGGTGCTGATAAATGCGGTACATGCCGAGTGGGGGTGTTATAAAGAATTTATGTCCCTGCCTAAGCCAAACTTCACATACTGCAGCGTAACTGCACATGCACAAGTGCCACGTGCTACTTACCACGACCCCGTGCAATACGAAGGAGGCAAGGTGATGGCTGCTCTAAAAGATGAAACAGAACATTATAGTACATTCCACAGTAATAGCAGCCCAAAGAAGACCCCCAGGAGTATTAACAGTAACTTAGACTGCCATAGAGAGTGTAAGACACTGATAATGATGAGTATGATC